ATGTTACAAATCCAATTCTAACACTTCATACATGTTAATTAGATTGATGACAAGTCAAATTCACTCTAAAACCTTATTAAAGAACCCTCTTTCAAGATTTCACTTATTCCTCTCTTTTCTTTAATTCCCTCTATTCTCTTCATATTATTGTTTCAAGATAATTTAACCTCTTATTATGTTTAATTATCACCTAATAATCAAAACTCAACCTTAAATTTTAGCTAATAATCAACAACAAGAAATCTTACCTTTGCTTGAGCTCTCACGTGGAGGAGGAAGAAGAAGGGAGAAGAGTTTTCCAGATAACTCTCCCCACAAGCTTATCTCTTAATAAAGAGATAAGATAATTATCTTTAGATAACAGAGACCATTTTGCCCTTAATCTCCTTTAATAATTACTAATAACTTTCAGGAAATATCTCCACATAAATCATTGAACTATTCAACTTTTCTACTTTTATCCCCAAATTCTAAAATTTTACAATTTAGTCACTAACCCGGTATTGAGGATGTTACAAATCTCCCCTCCTTTTAAGAAAAATTATCCTCGAATTTTCATTGTACATACCAATAAAAATATATCTTTTAATGTTCTTATGTTGCTTTTACAACTTTATCCCATCTTTATAACTTTAATAATAAGTTTTACTTATACAGAACCTTATTCTTCACCATCTCTTGCACTTGTATTTTTCTTCCTCAAAGCTCTCTTTAAAACTTGTAAATACTCTTCTCTTTGTCTTCATCATATCTATGTAATCCATATACAATACCATATTCAAATCCATATCATACTTAATTAACTCACTTTATCTTTTCTTCCAATCTTTTTAACTCTATCACCTTTACTCTTAGGGCTAGTCAATAACAACTGTTCAATCTATAGCACAAGCCTTAATTAACCAATCATATACATCCAACCTTTCATCATTTCTTAATTCTTATATGTACTTTAAGGCACATGATCTTTTCATATTACTTTATACTTCTCTTTCAATTCTTACTTTCCCTCAAACATAAGAATCGTTATTTCCTTTACTATATCACATTCATATGATCAACACATTTTTCATCGTGTAACCTTGTTAGCCAACACTAACTCTTTCTTCTAGAGTACAAACCCTTATTATTTCCACACTCTTGCTTATACATAGTACGACCCCTTGGTTTCATATCCATAACTCTAATTTCATTCATCTTATAAACGTATCACTGATGCACTTATTCTTGAATCCTTTTTCAAATTCTAACCACATTACTTGATCTTTTAACGTTCTTATGGTGACATTTGTTCACCATATTCTATATTATCCACATAATAACGAACTTCTCAATTTAATTTCTCCACTTTGGAGAAATGAACACCTTCTAGCATTATCTTAATATCATTTATCCAAAGGTCTGTAACAACAGAACCTTCCTCAAATTCACCCTTGAGCTCGGGTGCTCATAACTCTTTTAACTATTTCGATACATTCATTCTATGAGTTAACAAAGTATATAATTGAAAACACATTGGAACACATTTCTACATAATGATTCATTCTAATCATATACAGGCATTCCCTGAGGTTTTCGCTCTTCTCCCTGCCTGGCCAGGGCATGTGAATGCTATTACCTTCAGGTCTATCGCCTTGTGATTCACTTTGGAAGCTCTCATAGATTCATGTGCTCATATCATTTCTTCTATCACATATCACGTATGCGTATGATCATCCAATTCATATCATATAACATATATCATTTGCATATATTCACATATCTTCTATCATATCATATAAACATATATATATAATAAATCATTCTCAAGTATTTACTTATCTTTTATAACATAACAATTTAACTTATTAACAAAACATCACACTCCTTACCCTACCAGATCAGAAAATTTCCCACTTTGTGTTGGCATGTGTACTTTTTAAAACACTTTTTTTGACTTCGTTTTTAGCCTAGAATCGGCTAAACCGTAGCTTTGATACCATTAAATGTAACACCTCAACCCAAATCCGACCTGGATCCGAGTCTGAGGTGTCACATTTTACTTTTTAAAAACATTTACTTGTATAAAATAGTGAGTAATTTAAAAACTTTTATAACATATAACTTATTCAAAACGTTTACAGAACTATTCAGAGCTTATACAATTCAAATCTTTTAAATACATGCCAACGAGACTTTTATACCATAAAATACATTTAAATCATCTATTTTCTAATCTGAAACTTTGTAAGGAAAAATGCTGACCTGACTTGCACCTCAACAGTCCATAAGCTTGTAACAACCTGGGTGTTAAACACTCACACGCTAAGTATATGACTTAGTGAGGCGAATAAATATATAATGTAAAATCTAACTTGTAATCATGCAGGAACAACTATTATTATCATATCATACACATCATATCAAATTATCTCACTCATATGCTTTTCATATAACAATTACATATATATCATCATTTATGATTTTATCTTGCTCCTATACTATTATACTTCATATCTCTTATTTCTTATTCATATGATCTCTTACATTCATATTCTATAACTTATAACAAATTCTTATATCATAATATATAAGTCATTTATACTCACTCACATATACATCAACATATATTCATGTAACTGATAGAATAACCCATATCACACATATATCATATCATGCAGTTCATATACATATATCACATACATTGATTTCACAATTATCTCTTTATTAGCCCATGTACACATGTGAGAACTGTAGATATGTGAGTCTATTGAGGTTGTGCACTATGCTGTCACCACTGCTCGTATAATTCCCACTAGGGACACGTAGAATTTGTCATGAAAGACCACGTAGATGTCCCAAAGGAGTACATATAACACATATGTCCCGAAGGACCGCGTAGACCCTCGACTCTTGGCATGCCAACTATACCTCTAGCTCTCCTAACACTTACATGGGCATTCTCTTTTATATCGTTTCACATAGTCATATCTCATATGCTCATAACTTTTATCATATCATTTCTCATATTCATATAATAATATGATTCACTTTCAAGTATCACATATACACATTCATATCACATGTTCTTATAAACTCATAACTTCTTTCACATGTACCTGTAATCAGGTAACTTCTTTTCACGTAGTTCATGTCACTTTTCATATTATTCATTTATCACATATATAATCTCTATCATATATACATTTCTTCATTTATCTCATAGTTATGTATCATATTACAGAATTTAACTTATATCATATTATCATGTGTGCATATATCATGGACACTTAACATGTATCATATAAACATTTATTCACTCATATCATTAACATATGTAATAATCAATAACATACACATAACATATCAAACATATGCTCATATTAATGAATTCATACATTCTACTATACGAAATAGACTTGTCACAAGCCTTATTTCCATTAAACATAATACACTATCTAATGTGCACTCACTTTGGCCTCACTACGTTTCAATACACTTTATGATTTTCTCTCTTTCGATCGAATCTTAACTTGCCAATCGACCCGGACTTGTTCGTGCTCGATATATATATAATCATACATTGATACATATCATTATCCAATTGATATACACTAATCTATCATTTCTTAGACCAAAAGAAATGTCTATTTCAATTTCCCCTTGAAGTGCATCGATGCATTCTACAGTGCATCGATGCATTCTACAGTGCATCGATGCATTCTTTAACATGTGCATCGATGCACTCCTTATGCATCGATGCACCAATTGCATTCGATGTTTCTTCTTTAAAGAGTGCATCGATGCACATTGAATGTGCATCGATACACCTTGCCCATAATTTGCATTTTAAGCCCGAAAATCCATTTAATTCAACTCAAATGCTTCATATTTCATCCCCTTTCATATTCCTAATTTACATATACATATTTTCACTCATTTCTACTCAATAATTACTTCTTTAACCTCCATATCCTATTCTCCTTAAGAAATTCAAGAATCATACCCAAATTTTAACATGTTACAAATCTAATTCTAACACTTCATACATGTTAATTAGATTGATGACAAGTCAAATTCACTCTAAAACCTCATTAAAGAACCCTCTTTCAAGATTTCACTTATTCATCTCTTTTCTTTAATTCCCTCTATTCTCTTCATCTTATTGTTTCAAGATAATTTAAGCTCTTCTTATGCTTAATTATCACCTAATAATTAAAACTCAACCTTAAATTTTAGCTAATAATCAACAACAAGAAATCTTACCTTTGCTTGAGCACTCACGTGGAGGAGGAAGAAGAAGGGAGAAGAGTTTTCCAGATAACTCTCCCCACAAGCTTATCTCTTAATAAAGAGATAAGATAATTATCTTTAGATTACAAAGACCATTTTGCCCTTAATCTCATTTAATAATTACTAATAACTTTCCGGAAATATCTCCACATAAATCATTGAACTATTCAACTTTTCTACTTTTATCCCCAAATTCTAAAATTTTACAATTTAGTCACTAACCCGGTATTGAGGATGTTACATAAACCCAAATCCGACCAATCCAAACATCATCTTTAAAAAACCTGGTCCGAACTCGATTTTTTTTAAAAAAAACCCAATCTCTCTGGTTCGAGTCCCATGCCCATCCCTAATAACAACAATAACGATCGACAAAGGAGTTGGATGATTTGAGTTTAGGTATCTTAGGGGTCTTTTTTATATTTTTAAAACATTTTAGTTTTTTAAGAATAATATAACATTTTTAAGTTAATTTTAAAAAAAATAAAAAATTCAAAAAAAATAAGCATGACACATGTCACTTAACGATTTTTTGAACGGTATACACTAAAAGTGTAACGAAGAAAACGTTAAACACATATTTTCAACGAAAAATTCTTTAAACACATGAAGTTAACTAATAATATTGTTTGGATACTTATTTTTACATTAAGCTAATATTTTAATATAAATTTAGTTAATAATTATATTCTTAGTTTTAATTATCACATAAATATGACATTATTTAATTGAGGTTAATTTAAATTAATTTATTATTATCATTATAAATAATTACAAACATATATATATACACAGGAAGAAGCTGTTTAATAATAATTGTAATTATAAGATTACTAAAATAACAATAAAGATAATAATAAGAATGGCCTTAGATTCTTTCGGTGGTTTACAGGCCGGATATCCAGTCGGGAGTGCATGGAACCCCGGTATTCGGAATCCATGTATTGGACTTGAGGTAGGGGCCAGGGGTAAACGTCTTGGCCGTGTTAAGATCAACTTTCTTGATTCCAGACCATTTGACTCTGCCGTCCGTTTTGGCGCCAGGTCCCCGGTTGCCGAACTCGACGAAGTAGGAGGTAGTCTCCCCTTTGCCGGGGAGCATTGGAATGTACCCTTCCGGTGCGATGATGTCGTCGATTTGGGTCTGGATGATGATGGCTGTGGCAAGAATCTTCCATGGTCTATTGAGATAAGCTTTGTTCGTGTCCTTCACCGGGATATAGTCTTTGTCGCCAGAGATGGTGCAGTTGTGTAGAACGAAGCCGCCAGTGGAGTTATGGAACATTTTCCCCTGTGCAAGGACAATGCAGTTCTGTTTTGGACCAGGTTTCCTCACAATAATCTGGCAGTTCTGGAACACCGCTCTGGAGTCGCCGAAGATGAAGTCAATGGTGCCGGTGATGACACAATCGCGGAAGAATTGCATTTCCTTATGTGCGTAGAGGGTGTCTTGGTACCCGTTGAAGTGACAGTTGTAGAAGACGCCTAGGTCGCCGGTACTTCTCAAGGCGACGGCTTGCTCACCCTCGTATCCGGCGGTGTTCTCAAATCCGATGTCTTTGGCTATGAAATGCTTCGCATCAACGGCAACAGTTGCAGTGAAGAATGTTCTGAGTTTACTCCTTATGACGCAAATGTCATTGGTAATGACAGTCTTGGTCGGACCATCTCCGATGAGCATAACATGTTCGGCTTCCTTGATGATGTGAACCTGCTCTTTGTAAACTCCAGCCTTAACGTGAATAATAAATCGTTGGGTATTCTTTTTCGGAACTTCAGCCAATGCCTTGACGATGCTATCGTATTTTCCACTTCCGTCTTTAGCAACCACCACGTTAGGCTTAATGGATCCCGCATTCGCCTGGAGGAGTCTCCGGTCGCTGTGGCTTAACCAGACAGGAAAGTCACTGTTCTTCTCCGACAAGAGTTTACGTTGTAACGGCGTGGTGCTGATGTTTTCGATGCTGGGGATGTTGAGGTCTTTTGCGATGGAGGATAACCCGTACATCATGCCGAGGGCGTTCATGTTAAGCTCCTGTGCCGTTTTCAAGATCGACTTCATTTTCTCGGCGGCCTCGCCGTTCTCCTCCGCGAACGAGTCTATGCAGGTTTGCTGGCTGGTGAGGGCGCCGCTCAGCCACACCTGGATGTGCAAGAGAATATCGCCGATCTTGCTCATATCGTACTCGCCGAGCTTGTTGAATGAATCTTCTAAGTCGTCAATGGCGAAATCCAACACCTCTTTACAAACCTCTAAAGCATTCTTCTTACCTTTGTCTTTCTCCAGCTCCTGAAGCGTTTTCGAATCCGCCAACACCCTCTTTATCTCCGTCACCGTCGCCTGAAACCCGGTCCTTATCAACTCCTTCGGATCACTCGAGCTCGACGATTCAAGGCTCTTCTCACAGGTTTCCTTGAAAGCCGTGGGTTGGCAAACGGTCTGCACCGCCTTCGAAGAAGTCGATATTTTCTCCTTCTTCGCATCATTCAACCCCACGGCGAACACCACGGCCACCACGGAGGCCACCACCGCCACCAAGCAGACAAGCACAAAAACAACGTTATTAGCCATTTTTAAACAGCTTTCCCCCTGGTTATTAAAACCCTAATAGAGACGAGAAATACAGAAATCTTTTTCCTCCCTTCTTTTCGCTTGAATCCGAACTTCTCCAGATGGAAGAAAGAAAGAAAGAAAGAAGATTATTGCAGCTGCGTGGGGCTGCTTATTGCTTATTTATCATTGCCCGTTGAGCTGCTTGAATTATCTGCATTTCCATTCCCCTATTTATACTTGAAGGAGATCACTATTTTTAGCTATGCCTTCGTTTTCTATGATCCACAGATCCACCGGACGTGCCAGTTTGTTCAAACTTCCTCAAAATTTATGGATTTTACATTTAAACACTAATTTAAATATTTTACATAATTTAAATTTATATATTATTTGTTATATATTTAAATTTATATTTATAAATTATTTATCAATATATGAGTCTCATAAATATTTTAAGTAAAGAGATAAATATAAAGTAGATAATAGATTAAGACTGGTCTATTTCAATACATTGTAATTTGTATGCATAAGTAAAGCACATTTAAATGGATATTCAAAAGTGAATATAATCAATATTAATTCTTATAATTATACATGGAAAAGTGAATATATGAATCTTTTAAATATTTTAAGTAAAAAGATAAAAATAAAATTAATTGATAAATTAAAACTTGCTTATCATTCATCTATTTACTCAAACATATTTAAAATATATACTTACATTTCTCATTCGAAACCAAAACAATACATGCATACAATCATACATGATGATCATGATTACTAAAATTAAACATATCGAAACATGGCATAATCATTAAATGTGCATTGCAATTAACACCCCAATATACATAGACCATATAACCATTCCAATTAACACCACAATATGCATTGCAATAACACATATACATACATCATAATTTCTTATGATAACTGAAGGTCAAAATATGCTCGGTTTTCACATTTAATATAAATTTTAGTATATTACCTACACATACAATGTTATAACATGTAATGATAATATTGAACACAATTATGATTATTTTCACCTAATTCAAACTTACGTTACATTTTGAATTTATCGTTTTACTTATTTGCTTTCTTTTTATTTCTCTTAAAAATTTCAAGTTCCTCGTACACTTCTATGATATAATCAACATCAAATTATAAAATACACATTAGACTTCTGATTAAAGCTTAGCATGCATTGTGTGTGTATAGAAGTTAGTGTTGTGGCATAAAGGTTTGTAAACTTTATATAAGAATTATATGGTATTTGATGCATGATAGATAAGTGAGAAGGTATGAAACCACTTAGGGGTGGATTCATTCATGTCTATGCATGATCATGCATAGACATACAAAAATATACTAAACATTAACAACAATATTATTAAGATTTAAAAAATTAAAATTTTGGTCGTTGATCAAATCTCGACCTAAGAAGATGAGGGGTATTACAATATCAGAGGACATACTTGAAAAAAAGTGACAAATTGAGTGTAATTCAAAATCCCAAGATTTCAGAACAAGAAGAGTGGAAAGATGAACAAATGGTGGCATCTCTCTAAACCATAGAAAAGACCTTGACTAAAAATTGTGATGGCATTCAAGTATAAAAAGGGCATTGGAAATCCATATTATTCAAGTAGTTAAGCAAAAGCAAAAAGCTCTAGGGGCCTTAACCCATCAGGCAGTAAGCAGCCCCTCAAAGTTGTTTGCAATAAAATCATGTTTCGTTCTTCGCATACTTTGTTGATAGATTCTAGGCAGGATAAAGATTTTCTTTTATTTATCGCCTATTGTTAGGGTTTTACGCAGGAAAAAATCTATTTAAAAATGGCGAATAACGCTATTTTTATCGTCGTCCTTGTAGTGGCAGTTGTGGCATCGGCGCTCGCCGTGTTCTTCGCTGTCGGTGTCCATGATGCAAAAAAAGGTGAGGATGAAGAGAAAGCGACGACTTCTAAAAGGCCATACAATCCATTTGTCAACCCACCAAATTCAAAGAAACTTGTGAGGAGAGCATGGTGTCGGCCAACTCCAACGACCCCAATGAGCTGATAAGGACGGAGTTAAAGGTCACCGTGGCAGAGGTAAAGAACCTGATAGCGAGGTCGAAGACAATGCAAGAGTTGCAATCAGATGAAAATACGAAAGAGGATTTCCATACCTGCATGGAGTTGTTTGATTGGAAAATTCAGGATCTTGAAAGATCATTCGACAAGCTCAGAGAGTATGAGATGAGCAAGATCGGTGAAATCCTCCTGACACTGCAGGTATGGTTGAGTGGGTCCTCACCAGCCAGAAGACGTGTATAGAGTCTGTTGAATCAAAATAGAGTAAAAACTCTAATTGATCGATAAGAAGAAAAAACTCTTTAGAATAATCTCACAAAATTGCAAAAGGGAAGAACTCTTAAGAAAGCTTTCAAATGCTTATAATTAAGCTTTGATTGTTGGATGATAAAACTCAAATACAAGTAGGGTATTTATAGGTTACAAGAAACAATCTAAACCACTCATTAAAATAAGCACTAAATAATCTAAACCATTGAAATTAAAACTTGAGAAAAATACTTAATTTTCACCTAACTAAATTGATGTAAGCAATGACATCAAAACTAAATTGATGTAAGCAATGCCATCAAATTAATTTAGGTGTGAACTTATTTAGGCTAATATTGAATTTTCAACACTCCCCCTCAATGTTAGCCTCCATTCTTTGAATCACGCCATGCTGACGATGGAAATGTTCAAACTTTCCAACACTCAAGCTTTTTGTAAACAAGTCAGCAATTTGCTCATCTGTCTTGATTTGCCTCATCTCAATCTCTTCTTGCAAAACTTTTTCCCTAACAAAGTGGTAATGTACTTCCACATGTTTAGTTCTTGCATGAAAGACAGGATTCTCCGCCAGGCGAATTGCCGATTGGTTGTCACAATACAACGAAATTGCATAATCTACTGGTTGATGTAGATTATTCATCAACTGTATCAACCATGTACTCTCTTGAGCTGCCATTGCTGCTGCTCGATACTCAGCTTCAGTGGTTGACAATGATACCGTTGGTTGTCTTTTGCTACACCAAGAAATTGTTCCGGAGCCAAGCTTAAACACATATCCAGTTGTTGATCTCCTGGTGTCATGATCTCCTGCATAATCAGCATCACAATA